TTTTCACGTTTGTACGGGAGCTGGCGGTTCGATGATTTTACGAGCACGATTGGATACGTTAGAGTGAAACAAACGTTGAAGAGAAAGGTACGATTCATAGTAGTATCAGCAAAGCAATGCGCGACGAATCAAGCTGAAATATTTTGCAATAATTTAAATATATTCTTCTTCCTCCTCTTTCTCCTCTCCCTCCTTCCCTTTCGAAGTTCGAAAACTTATGGATATTTATTCGGATGGTAATTTTTTTCTGACGTCTTTATTTCGTCGAATCATACGTTTCTCGTGGATGTACAATTATAATACGTGTTATTAAGAATTAACAGCTGATTTAATAGTTTTTTTTTTTTTTTTTTTTTTTTTTTTTTTTTTTTTTTTTTTTTAATGGGGAATTTGAGCGAGAGTGAGTGAGAGAGAGAGTATATATTAATTAACGAGATCAATTATTGATTGAAAAGAACTCTTTTCTTTTTATTTATTTATTTTTTTTTCTTTCTATAATCGATCGTTTAATTTAATCTAAATATCATAATTAAGGAACGATCGATTGTGAGTAGATTATATCTGACGCGATAGTGATAGGTTTTTTTCTTTCTTTTTCTCTTTTTTTCTTTTTTTTTTTCTCGTTATCATCCAAAAAATATCACTTTTGGTTTACATCCTTAATCCTCAGAATTATCAGTATAAAGGTGAATAATTTCTTTCTTATTTTTTACTTCAATCTTTTTTTTCTTTTTTTTTTTTATTTTTTTCTTTTTTTTTTTGGTTATTTATCTGTTATTCTTTTTTATTTTTATTTTTTTTTTTTTACTTTTTTTTTCTTTTTTTCTTTTTTATTTATTTACGCTGTATATAAATCCAGTCGGTTTAGCCGATGGCACGTGCGTACGAGAGCTCGTTTGGAAACTTTATAAATCTCCTGGCAACGAAGTTGACGCAAATAAACGTCGCGTCAGTGCATCCGACGTGACGGCCGGCAACTTTGAAACGCGACTCCAGATGTCTGAGGGAACGCGACGAGACCTAACTTTCTAACGAACGAAGTCATAAATTCTGTAGTTTAGAAAGAAGCATTCTTAGACTTGGATTCTTTTCATTTATTATTATTGTCTGTTCTTTTTTTCTTCTTCTCTTTTCTTTCTTTTTCTTTTTTTTTTTTTTTTTTTTTTGTTTTTCCCTTGTTCTCTCAAATACATTTCTGAAATTTGTTCACTGTGACTTTTCGACTTTGTCCTTCTTAAATAAAATATTTTTCATAGAATGTATTAATAAAATATATTAAATTTCAATAAAATATATTACATTTTTTAAATAAAATATATATATATATATATATGTGTGTGTGTGTAAGGAAAAAACCATATATATATATATATATATATATATATATATATATATATATATATATATATAGATATATAGAGATAATCACGTGAAATAATGTTAATGAATCCCTTTAGCTGTATTTCTCGTTGATAAATATCGTATTTTATTTCCCTTTCCCACATTACTATCGTCCTTGCCATTTATCTCAGATTTCATCGTAAAAGCGTAACGAGCTACGAAGCTTGTTTTTCTTTTATTTTTTTATTTTTTTTCTTTTTTTTTTTCTCTTTACTCGATTTTGTGGTAAAACGAAACAGGTTCTTCTCTGTATCCGTACGCCATATGTATACGTCATATGTATACGTATGTATGTGTTGGTGGTGTACGTCTCAATGTCTGAAGAAAGAAAAATAATCAAGAGAACGAGAAAGGAGAAAAATAGTCGATGGGGGCGAGTATATCAGTTTTTCTGATAGGTACATTATTTTACGAAGATAAGAAATATCTTTTCGTTTTCGAAATAACGAAGTAATGTTTTTTAATTTTTTTTCTTTCCCTCTCAATAATTTAAAAAAAAAAAAAAAAAGAAAAAAAAAAAAACAAGAAAAGAAGAATAAGTAAACTAGAAATACATAAATAAGTAAGATACTTGTTAATCAATAAACACATCCTTTATACATCATAGTGATAACAAATTTTTGACTGATTATACTCTTCATATATGTCAAGTTACAATGTTCTTTTGACATAAGTCTTGGAATTTAATTAAACTGTCGCTCTATCTGTCTATATATCTGTCTCTTTATCTCTATCTCACATACATACTCGTTCGTTCTCTCTCTCTCTCTCTCTCTCTCTCTCGCTCGCTCGCTCTCTCTCTGGTTTTCTCTCGCGTTACAGGAGATACCGTCGAAAAATCGATGCGTCGCGGTTCATGATTCCGCTCGACTACGTACGAGAAGTAATTCCAGGGAAACGAGCTCTCTCACAGTCGGTTTGTTCGTGCGGAAAGCTGCGAGAAAGGCAAGGAATACCTGGAAAGAGTGGTAAAGGTAAAATTGAAAGTTTCCGAACGGGGTAGGAAATTCGTAGGGATGTTGAGAAAAGGGTGATGGTTCGGCCGATAGGCGGGTGATGGTGGGTGGATGGTTGGTTGGTTGGGTTTTGGTATGTTTGGGAATGAACGTTTGGTAGATTGGTGAGAGAGAGAGAGAGAGAGAGAGAGAGAGAGAGTAGGAAGGCGGATGACGGAAGGAAGGAAGGGTTGGGGGGGGTGGTAAGGGTGGTATAGAAAATTCGTGATTTTGATGGTGGCTGAGGGGGACCTCAGTCCTCAAACTTATTCGATCAGAACAATCGAATTAGTTTGCGATCAAACAAAGTACCGAACGTCAACGTTCTACTTGGAAAATGAAGTTTCCGAGATCAAGAGAGTTTGAAAAGGGATTACTAAGATGAAGAGATTCTAAATTAATCTTTATTTTTTAAAAGGAAAAGAAATTAGAAAAGGAAGAAAAAAAAAATAAAAGAAGGAAGGAGAAAGAAAGGGAAAGGATGAAGAAAGAAAGGCAAAAAAACAAAAAAAGAAAAGAAAGAAAAAGAAAAAAAAGAAAAGGAAAAGAAAGAGAACATTGGATGGGATTATATTTGTGCCAGAACGCGCATGCCAGAGGCACTTTGTCTATGGAAAGGCAAATATGTGTCCTAAGAGAAATTTCAATGTGTTAGAGTGTTCGATACGTGTCGTGGATCGAGGTCGTCCTAAAAACGGAATTGCAGGATTCCAAACTGGAGTTTCTCCGTTTCTCTTAGGTACATACGAATTGGTGATACGTCTCTCTATCTCTCTGTGTTTTGGGACACCAGAATCCGTTGTAGTTCGGTGTCGAACATTCTGTTCCGTACGTTCGTGAGATCACCGACGGGTTTTACTCTATATCGTTCTAAATTGTTTCTCGAAAGTTTTACGGTATAAAATACAAAGAGAAAGATGAAAGAGAAAGAGAGAGAGAGAGAGAGAGAGAGAGAGAGAGAGAGAGAGGGAGTGTTAGCTCTATCATATTTGAACATTGAAATTAATTGCATTTAATTTCTATAAGTATTCGAAAGTATAAGATTTATATTTTTCATTTGGAATTTTTCACATTTATATTAATTTTATTCACTTTTATTGACATTGCAAAATGGACGAACTGGTAGTTGAAAAGTTTATGAAGGTTGGAAAAGTTAAGATCGGAGAATCGTTTCAACCTGGCCTTGATAAATTACTTCTACTACCATCGATATGAAAAATGCAAAGGAATGAAAATTTGCTAATATAAGATGCAAGCAGTGACGCGTTTCCAGGTTCGGAAGAGGTAAAAGATGAAAATAGAGAGAATAAGGAGTAACAGGAAGATGAGGAGGAGGAGGAAAAAGAGGAAGAGGAAGAAGAAAGAAAACTGTTGAAGAAGACGAGTGTTGAGAATCGTCAAGAAGATATTACGTTTATCGATAATATTTTTCTATAATATTGAAAAATCTCTTGCCTTAGTAATATTGGAATCAAACATTTTTTTTTTTTTTTTTCTTTTTTTTTTTCTTTTTTCTTTTTTTTTTTGACGCGTTAATCCTTTCATCAAGAATGACGGAGAAATTAGAACGGTCGACCAGTATATTTTACAGTATGTGTGTAAGTGTGTGTCTAAGAAGGGGGTAGGTGCGCATCGTCCAATAAATTACACTTACTTCTCATTTTCTAAAGTTAGACGCATACGAGTTCCCTTCGAAATTTTCATTTCTTCGATTACGAACTAATTTACGAACTTCTCAAGTTTCCCAGTTAATTAATTAACAATTCGTGCGATAATTTAAAATTAATTCTTATCATATTAGAATAATGATCGAACTTCGCGTTAATGATCGAACATCTTTGAAAATGATTCATAGAGTATGATCGTGACTTTTTTTCTTTTTTAACACGTGTCTCATACAATTCTTTTCTTTCTCTCTTTCTCTTTCTCTCTTTCTTTCTTTCTCTCTCTCTCTCTCTCTCTCTCTCTCTCTTTCTTTTCTTTAGCGTCATTCTCGAGATTAGTTTGAAACGAAACTCTCTCGTATTTCTATGCCATCGGCAAGGAGAACTTGGTGTGTTCCGAGGGCGGACAGGAATTTAATTCGAATGAGAAAGAGAGAGAGAAAGAGAGAGAGAGAGAGAGAGACAGAGGGAAACTCTAGAAACTTTTCCAGCTTTGCTTTAGGAAGACGAGAAAGAGGCGTTTCCAGGTTCGTGTCAGTTGACCTTCATACTGAAAATCATATTTCGATTCGAGCGTAAAAAGGCCAGACTTATATCGATCAATTTTCTCTAAGTACATCTTTTTTTTTTTTTTTTTTTTAATCTCTCTCTCTCTCTCTCTGTCTCTCTTTTCTTCTCCCTTCATTCAACGAAGTTAGAGAAAATTTGATTATAAAAGTTCAGCGTGGGGGAGGGGGGATGGTGGTGGTGGTGGTGGTAACCTATAGGTTAAAAAGTACCTGTACGATAGCAAACGTTTTTACTTTTCTTTTCTCTTTTCTCTCTTTCTTTTCTTTTTCTTTTTTTCTTCTTCCCCCTCTTCTCCCCGCCCACCTCTCCCCTTCAAATTCTTCAACAACTTTCGAAACTTTATCCCTTCAATTGGATAGAATCTAGATTCTTGTTCTTAAAGTTTCTCACGATATTTTCTTTTATAAAAAAAAAAAAAAAAAAAAGAAAAGAAAAGAAAAAAAAGGGAATTGATATCAGAGCGAAAGGGATATCTTTCTTATCGTTACACTCGGCATTGCTTTTGAGAAAGAATCGAAAGCGTAGCGCTGCCGATTTTCGAGGAGTCGTAATGAGTAGAATAGCAGGGGTGTGAGGGGGAATGGTGGAGGGGAGAGGAGAGCTTTAATTAAAACTCTTCAGAAAGCTGGTGTAATGTGTGTGTGTGTGTGTATCTGTTATGTACGGTATGTATGGGTGCGTCTTGTCCCAAGGATGAGAGAAAAAGAAAGATAGAAAAATAGATAGAGACAGACAGACAGACAGACAGACAGACAGACTTAGAAAGAGAGAGAAGAAGAGAGAGAGAAAGAGAGAAAGAGAGAGAAGAAGAGAGAGAGAGAGAGAGGTAGTAGTAATAGTAGTAGGTAGTAACTCTTCGTAAAAAGAACATCGACGAAGGCTTTGTGCGAGAGAGAAAATCAGCTTCGGCTCGTTCGTTCGTTCTCTCGAGCCTCTGCTCTTTTGTCCGGTAGAATCGCGCGCGCTCAGAGGAATTTAGATTTAATTGACCTGCTCTACGATTAAACCATCCCTCTCCCTTCCTCCCTCCCTCCCTGCCCCCCTCTCCTTCCTTCCTTCCTTCCTCTTCCTCCTTCTATCCTCTTTCCAGATACCAACCCTCTCTATCTCTATCTCTGCCTCTCTCTCTCTCTCTCTCTCTCTCTCTCTCTCTTTCTCTTTCTCTGTGTTTCCATCTTCGTTTTACACACACACACACTCTCTCTCTCTCTCTCTCTTTCTCTCTCTCTCTCTCTCTTGCAGTTTCTTTTTCCACGATTCAACTCTTTGTAAGGACGCGCGCGCGTGAAAGGAAAGAAATAGCGAACGACGCCTAGCCGTGTCCAAAGCCGATTGGATTTTCTTTACCGAGATAAAAAGAGAAAAGAATCGAAAAGAAAGAGAGAGAGAGAGAGAAAAAAAAGGAAAAAGAAAGAAAAGAAAAAAGAAAAAAATTGGAAGAGAATGAAAAAAGGAAAGCAGTCATCCAATAATCTTAATTATCGGTCGAGAGAAAAAGGATTTTGGTTTCAATAGAAAGTTCTTCTTTATATTCTTCTCAATGTTATCTAGAAGTATTATCATATCGATCGTGGTTTATATATTTAGAATTGACTTGGTTTTGAGCGGTATTGTAGGTGTAGGGCGATCTGGCAGGTGGGAGGGTAAAAAAGGATTTATATATATATATATATATATATATATATATATATTTCGAAATGAAACTTTTCTCTTCGTCGAAAGAAAGAAAGAAAGAAAAAAGAAAGAAAAAAAAAAAAGAAAATGAAGGAAAACAGAAAATTCTGCTACGGGGGGCTTTGCGATGCAGAAAACGAACGAGGGGGGAATGTTGGGTGCGATTAGAGAAAAAAATTTTTTCTTCTCTTCTTTATCATTTAAAAGTTCGAATGTGCGGGTGCGTGCATGCGTGCGCGCGCGTGCGTGCGTGTGTGTGTGTGTGTGTGTGTATATGTGAGAGAGATAAAAGCAAAAAAAAAAAAAACTTAACCAAACGTTTATTTTCTCTCTTTTTTAGGTTCGCTAATCTGTACTCCGTCTACCAGTACGTTTTTTCGCTGACGACGAATAAAAAAAAAAGGGAAAAGAAAAGAAAAGATAAGAAAAGGAAAGAAAAACACGTACATGTATAAAAGAAGTTACTAATCTTTAATAATAATAATAATAATAATAATAAAAAAGAAAAACAAAAGAAGGAAAAGAAAAAGAAGAAGAAGAAGAAGAAGAAGAAGAAGAAAACAAAGACAAACGAAGAAGAAATAGCACGGAAAAGAAGAGGAAGCATAGATCTCGTACGAAGGAAAGATTACAAAAAGAAAAAAAAAAAAAAAGAAAAGTAAAGGAGAAGAGGTGTTCCTAGTATAAATAAATAAATAAACGATAAAACAAGGCAAGAGAAAAAAAATTGAAACAAGAGAAAAAGAAAATGAAAAAAGACAAAGCATGAAGACGTGGTACGTGAAAGTCCGCAGTAAGTGAGTCGTGTGTGTGTATATATTCGGTTTTGGGGGGTTGGGGTGGAGTTGGCAGGTGGAGGGGAGTTGGTTGGGGAGGGGGGGGCGTAGGAGACAGGTGTATTTCGGAGAGTCGGGCTCAAGTGCCCGATCAGTAGTTGTGTGATGGTCTCAGGGTGGTGCCCGTGCGTGCCATTAGGGCGCCGGGAATCACCGGCCCAACAACAACAACAACAACAACAACAACAACAACAACAACCGCCATCATCATCATCATCAAGAGGGGGATTCACCAACGACGGTGCACCATTCACCGTCAGCGCCGCGACGGACCGAGCAGAAATGGTCCAAATGTTCTATTATGAGAATCGTGGCAAGTGTTGTAAGAAACTTCTAAGATACAACGGCTATCCGAATAAG